GATAAATGGATCACCAGCATAAATTAATGAGACTTTTTGTTGAATAAATTAATTAAAAGCAAGAATTTGTATCAATTACAGAGTCTGACAGTTGTATAACACATTTACTCAGCGTTTGATTAATTAATTGAATAATTTGTTTGACAGAAATATATTTATAACATTTTTATGTTAAGAAATAAATAAAGATTTTTCTCGCTTTTTATAATAGTCTCAGAGGTTAACGGCACCGGTATGTTTTGAACTAAGTTATATAATCTTAGATACATTATATATATACACTACCCGTGCCCTATTGTATTGTACACCATACACGATTGTATTATGATAATATTGTACATGGATCTTTTGATTTGTTGTTAATTTATAATGTGTTCACATATTATCTCCTAATATATCACTAAAACGTTTGTTCAATAAAAATGTAAATCTATTGTGAGATATATTTTATACAATATTAAAAGTTATGTATGTCTCGGGAATTGTATTATTAGATTTAATAGAGTTTTATAAAGTAATTCATATGATTTATTGTGTTTTTATTTACAATTCATATATTATAAAAGTTTTTAGTTTTTCTATATTTTAATAGAAATGAATACAAATTACATTAAGTTATAATATTTAACATTATATTCTAAATAACACTAAACTTTTATATACATGTATAATATCCATTTGGATAAAGTATTTATATTTATTTAAGTATCAGATTTTGCTATATTTTTTCAAGTTTAACACATTTATGAAAAATGTATGACATTTAAATAAAAATATAAATATTTATAAAATGAACTCAAATTCACTATATTCATGGGAAATACTGTTCATGGGGTATATAAACTCATTCACAACCATAGGATCTAATGTTTTTTGAAAAATAATTAAATATGCATTTGAAACACACTATTCACACCAAAAAAGTATATTAAAAATTGTATTAAAAGTATTTGTATTAATTTCAACACAAAACTAAAAATATAAAATAATTTTTCTTATATTTCTCTGAATATAAAAGTTTTTAAAAAAAAAGTTTTTTGCAAATTATAGTGATTTCAGTGTTAAATGTCTCGTGAATTCTTGTGTCGAGAAAATTGTTTTTCATATTTCATAGCATTTCGTATACAATGAAAAACACATTAAAATAAAAGCCATGTATTTGTGGCAATCATTGGTATTATGCCGTATAATATTATCGTGAATCAAATATCATTTAAATATATGCTTTCTAATGACAAATTGAAAATAAGTTTTTTATTTTTATACTTATAATTCACTTCATAGTGATGTTTGTTGCGAAACATACCCTGAGTTATGATAAACCTGTGATCAGTCATTAATTTCTTGTTTTTATTTCATATAAAACACTACATTATGTGATATAATAGCTGTGTATTAGTTGTCAGGTTTATTGACCACTGAATTCAGCCATCAATTCCTTGCTCTCTCTCTCTCTCTCTGTCTGTCTCTCTCTCTCTCTCTCTCTCTCTGCGAAAAATATAAATACAAAACATATCCACAAATATCAATGACTTCTGTGAGTGAATCGATGATGAGTTTAACGATCGCATCATTATTTTGCTATCGATTGCACAAAAACTTTCAGACAATAAAATTATGGGAAAAATAAGTTTTTGATTCCTGCAAAAAATCTTTATTACCCATTGTTTTATCCATGTAACACTCATGTATCATCAGGCAGTAAATTTAATGTAAATAAATATTATGCTAAACGGTTGTATGCATGCCAAAATGAGCTAGTTACACCAAATAATTATAACATAGCGTTTTATTGCAAACAATTATATAACTAAATGTTGTATTGTTTGTGTTTTTATGGTATAGTTTGTGGAGGACTACGAGCCCACGAAAGCCGATTCGTACCGAAAAAAGGTGATCCTCGACGCCGAAGAGGTTCAGATCGATATCCTGGACACCGCCGGACAGGAAGACTATGCGGCCATTCGTGACAACTATTTCCGTTCGGGCGAAGGATTTCTATGCGTTTACTCGATCACAGAACACGAGTCATTCACTGCTGTCAATGAATTCAGGTATTCATCACTTGTTTGTCTGAACTGTAACTTTAATATTGAAAATAATTTTTAGTAAATTTAGTATTTTTGGTGCTTATCATTGGTCGCAAACATTGTAGTCGCTTATTTTATTTTAGTTAATTTTGATATATTTATTAATAACGCTTTAGCAAATTAAAATGAGATTTTTATGTTTAGTTATAATGTATATATAATTTAATATGTAATATAAATTTCATTTGTCGATGGAGCATTTAACTAGTTTAAAACTGTAATTTTATTGTAAAATACTCTATGTTACAAATATACATAATTTTTCAGATTTATTAGTGGGTGGCTACTGGTTATGACTACTGTTTTCTACCAAGTTCATAATTTTGAATTTTAAAAATACTACACTAAATGAAAAATAGTATACATTAATAATACTATATTAAAAAATAAATTGAAACTAAATAATATTTTCATAGCTCTACTACTATTACTTATAAAACTATAAAATTTATAGTATAAATAAACTCAATAATAATTATTAGTTAAACATTTCAATAGTGGTTCATGTACCAGGTCATATTATTTAGAATTTTTAAAAATGCTTATTTTTTCTCTAAAATTATATTTCATAGTTTAATATATTAAAAATTAAAACTAGAATTAAATTATAAGTTTACAATTAAACCAATTTCTTAGCTGTGAATGAATTTGTTTTATTTAAACTTACAATACTTAACATATAATTACAACTGTAAATTTAAATGAAAATTTTTGTTTGCTAAATATTCATGGTTAGTTTTTATTAGTGGATTGCCAGAACAAATGTTATTTTATATTTTACAAATCAATATTTTGCAACAATTTTTCCCGATTTCTTATAATTTGTCGGAATTTAAAACTGAATGATAAACGCATTACTAAAGGAATGGTATGTTTTGGTTCGCCCTTTAGGGAGCAAATACTGCGAGTGAAGGGCGACGACAACATCCCTTTTGTTTTGGTCGGAAATAAAGCAGATTTAGACGAAAGACGTCGCGTCAGTCTCGATGAAGCGCACCGACTGTCAGACCTCTGGAAAGTGCCATACATTGAGACCTCGGCCAAGACCCGCCTCAATGTGGACCGGGTATGACATCTACGCCCACCCTATCGTACACTTTAAGCCTTATTACTAACTATTGTCTCAAAAAATAGGTTTTCTTTGACTTAATGCGAGAAATACGTAAACGAAAGCTGACGGACGCCGAGACGAGTAATGGCCCCAAAAAGGCCGGCCGTA